TTTCCATATTACAATCGTATATAATATACTTTAGCTTATAATTTATAATTGATCAGTATATTAATTATCATACTTCTATAAACGCCCTAAAATATGACTTCATAGATTTATACCTATTTTAAGCTCTATAGATAATAATATGTAATTTTAATCGAAGGTTTTCTTCTTTAGAATTAAGATTTTAACAATTTATAAAATCTATAACACAATTTATTATCTATAATATATTTCTATAACGCCGGTAGTAAGTAGGTAGGTACTATTTTTATTTTGTTTCAATGAAATAATCTATAAAGGTAATATTATATTAGAAAAAAACATCTAGTTAAAAAAGGTAATAAATAATTTATTAAAATAATTTCGTTAAGTTTATGAAATACATAATAATAAATAAATGTTTTCAAGTTACTAACTGATTTCGAAAAAAATTCTATTTTATAAATCTAGATAAAAATAAATTCAACTTGAATAGCTCATTTAGGTTTTTCGTGTCTATATATTCTCTTATATTAAAATTGTGTACATCGTTAAAACCAATAATTTAGGTGTACCTATTACGTTATACTATGTTTTATTTTTTTGGATAAGCAGTACCTATACTTTGAAATAMTAATACAATTTATAAATATAATCAGATGAACTGTGAACAGTAGATACCTATTAGTATACTAAGTAGTTAGTATATTAGTGGGTATATTACCAAAAGATTTACGTGGACTATGAACTTAAATAATAATAATTTCAGTATTCACAAATAGAAATTATCATTAAAAATAAAAAGTAAGCATATCATTAATACACATAACAATACCATTAAAATTCTCTTGTTTACAAATTATAATATAAAGTAATGGTATAATCTTTCACTCAAGAATAAAATAAATAGAGTATAAACGACGTCTATAGTAAATTTATAATTTAGTCATAAAGGACAATAATTTCAAYCTACCTATATACTTTAAAGCTGTAGTATTTGTTTCAAAAATTAAAAACGTATTATTGTAATTATTTAATATTTAGTTATATATTATACTCTCCGCTAGATCTTTTTTTTAAATATARAAATGTATTATTTCATTACAAGGTTACCAATAAGTTTTAACTTATTAATAATATTTTATTCAGGTGTTACATATGTAGGCTTACTTACACGGTTATACACGTAACAYGTACATCGAATATCGAGCTTATCCCCTATTCGGGTTTAGGTGTATTTACAACTTTTATGGGGATGTGATTATGATTCATGTGACCTTAGATTTATTTAAGAGCAAGATATGGATAAAAAATATATTTATTTTATAWTTTAAAATTAGCTCAGGTTAAAGTTTAATAATGTATTTACTGTTTTTAGTATGTTTAAATATTATTATTCATTATGCCATAGAAAAAGATATTCGCATTACACACCTTAGGTATCTTAATTTTTTTGAAAACCTTTTTAGGCCAATAAGAACCATTCAGGCTAGTTGACAATACTTGAGAAACTAAATCTATAGTCTATACACAGAACATTTGGCTCTATATAAAAAATAAAAAAAAAGGGGTAAATCGCTACATTGTATTGAACCAACGTCCAATATTATTATAACACTATTATTTTAATTATTATAGAACTTTTCAATTATATAAAATAACTCGGAAGCTTTACAAAAACACTATTTCATTAGTAACGTTTTTATTTGGCGTGATAATTGTATGGCTATTTGAACGATGTGTGYTTTGGTTTGATCTATTTGTTAATTTTTGAAATTTTAGACTTTTTCGTTTTATATTAATAAATAGTTTGTTTCTCAATCAAAAAGATTGAAAATTGAATAAATGGTTCCTTTTAAGTTTTCCTTTCAGTTAATTAAAAAATGTCAAAAATACATCGGGACAATTAGGCATTTGATGGTTAAATTTTAGCAAAATTGAATATTTGAATTAAGTTATTTTTTGGTAATAAAAAAAATAAAATAAATGTTTTTCGTAACATTTTGAAATATTTTA